TGTCAGTTGTTTGTGAACTAAATCTGCTGTAAAGGGTGATCTGTTTAAGCCCACTGAAATGCTTGAATGCAGACACATCAACATCAGAGTCTCTATGTTTTAGGTTAAAAAACCCTGAAACATTAAAATAACACAGACTGAATAAAATAACTCATGCACGTTCATATTCACCGCTGCCATAACGTTAAGTTTTGTTAAAATGCTACGCATTTAGCCCTATGTGACTTCTGTTTTTATATTGTTTATCAACAGTATAAATGTTTATATTGTTTGGATTAACTAGTCTCTCTCATTCACTGTCTGTTTAGGCTTGTTAAGTGCAAATCTACGGAGCCTCTGTACAAATCAGCATGGTACACATTATGTTATCATTACTAACTTGCTTAATATTCAGTCCACATGCATGAAGTGTAAAACGAGAAGGGCATAACCTTATGAAAAAAGAAAACATGCAAAAATCGTGGTTGCTGCGGTTCTTGCTTTCCCCTGCGGTTTGCTCGTCAATAGCGTGGTATTGCGATATTGCGGTTATCCTGACAGCCCTAACACACACACACACACACACACACACACACACACATTTTAATGCTAATTTGTAAGAAGCTTTAGGAACATCTATGAAATAAATGCAGTAGCAGCTCCTGGCCATTAATTTAGGTGGAGCTTCTGGGTCGTAGCTCTGTCTTATGATTAATCTTTATAAGTTTCACATTGTAATTGCTGAACACACGCAGACACGCTTCTGGAAGAGGTTTGGTGTCTTTGCGAAACTCCGCCAGATGGTGGCGCTATAATGTTGAATAAATGGATCTTAATACACAGGCACAGAATGTTATCTTATTCTGTACTCTTATTTTGTCTTGTCTACAGTCTGTGCATAAGCATTCAAGAAAGTTTTTTTCATTGTATTTTGTACATGATACTTACACATGACAATTAATGACGTAAAAAAAAACTAAAAAACATTTAATGTTCTATTTAATAGTTCGTACAAAATTTCTAACTCTTGTCAACAATTACTTACCCTCACGTTGTTCCAAACCCTTTAGGACTAGAGTTCATCTTTGAAACTAAACCTGAGATATGTTACTAAAACCTGTCTCCCTCCCTCGCTCAGTTTAAATTCAATTTAACTTCATTAAAACAAAACATAAAAAGTAATCCATATGAATTGAGTTGTTTCAAAACTAGCAAACGGAAATTGCACCAATTGACTGTTGAGATGTAAAAAATGTAACCCATTCTACAACCCATTTTTGTAGAAATGACCCAATAAACTTTAGGAATAAGCCAACAAGCGACCCAATATGTTTATAATCAACCTAATGTTTTTAGAGTGAAGCGGACATGCATCTCGACAAACTCAAGCCTTCGTTATTGTGGGAGAAATGAGACTGAAGCAAGACCATCTTTTAGAAGTAGCTGATACATGCTTTTTATTACTGTACCTTTTAGACATTGAGTATCCCAAGCCTACTGCTGCTGTTTGGCAGTTTCTACAGCACTCAATACTCTATATTCAGCTCCATCAACATAATGTCAGCAATTTACAGTTTATAATTGCATTGTGTGTACTAGCTTTGTACTAGGCTTTTGTTTGTTTATTTATTTGTGATTCCTGTAAAACAAAAAAACAAAACCCCAAGTAACGTAATAGGATGTAATAACACAATTGCAACCAATAACTTAATTTAAGAGAAGTGTTTGCAACTTTAATTATAATGGAAATAAAGTATTTTCAATATATTTGTACACTGTACATTATTATTTACATAATAATAATGCCAGAATGTTTAAAGCAACATTTTGGCCAAGTAACCCAACAAATTAGTTATTTTATAACCCAATTTATTGGGTAAAACTTACTACCAATGCACTGGGTTAAAACAACCCAACAACAGGTCAGTGCTATATCGACCCACCACTGGGTTATCTGTTGGGTCATTTTTAAGCAGTTGAGTTATAACTCAGAACTGACCTATCGGTAGTCCCCGCCCCCCTTAGTTACTGTTGCTCACTCAGACAAACAAACAGAGTTGCTCACTGTCTTACAATGACAGCAGTCAGTGAAAACCTTCTTCCGAGGCGTTTCTGATAAATTTGGGACACAGATGGACCTTCAAGTGGGACTTAAATATGCCATGAAGGGATATATAAAAGATATTAAAATAAATGTGCAAAAATACAGATCACAATGCAAACGGGAGAATTATGTTACGGTCGTCACGATCGCAATGACAGCATCCCGGATCAACACCGTTCATATATTCCTGCGGCGTAAGATTAAATGAATTTACATTTAACCAGATTAATACAGAGAGGCACTCTAATATAGACCTTCATTTATGTTTTTTTGACTTTCACTACACAGTACATGACGTGAGAACAGTTCGCTATTTAGGTTTGTACGTTAGCATGGACTCATTAACTTTAACGCTAACGTTAGCTAGTTTTAGCCAGAGATACCTTTCTGAAGCACAAGATGACATTAACGTTCTGCTTGAGCAGATGAAGAGTGTAACTTAATGAGAGTATGACAAGCGGAAAATAAACGTTTTCGTCTTCATTGTGATTGGGGTTGAATGCTTACAGACATTTTGCTCTGTTTTGGTTGGATTTAGGAAATGGAATACAATAAATTACATTGCTTATCCTCTCAGGATAACTGGAATTAGTGTTACAAGTACCCCAGGCACATAGTTTTTCCATTTTTGTAGCATAAACACCATTAAACCGATGTGAGCTTCGGATCTTCCAATGTTACTCTATGGCGCTGAAACCTACAGATGTCCGAGTTCCGCTCCTCGTGCAACTGATACTCGACTGCCATTGGCTCATCTGCATTCGAGGGGAGGGACTTACCGATAGGTCAATTGCGGGTGTGTGGGGAGAGACTCTGAGCTGGCGGCCATCTTGGGAAGAGACTCTGGTGCGATGACCACAGAACAAGAAGGTGCAGAAAACACAGGAGCGACGACCATAATCACGGGAACTCCCGCTGCCGCCGGAGCTTGCCCATGTTGGGTTAGGGTTAACCCTAGGATTAACCACGTGCAGGCTTTATTTAAAAACGTAGCCAGACAGGCAGGCTCAATCACCAGCAAAACACCAATATGCAGGGCGAGACAAAAGAGTAATCCAAATAACAGGCGATGGTCAGGGCAGGCAGCAAACGATCATAAAAAAAAACAGGTAAACAGTTCAAGGTCAAAAACACGAAGCCTAAGGAAAACTAAAGAAACACTGGAAACATAGGAAAACAACGGAACGGATGGCTAGGAATAACGATGCAAACATACTAACAATACTCAGCAATGTGTGGGTGACAATGTCCAACCTAAATAGTCCTCCTGATAGGAAACGGGTGGAGTCTGAAGATTAGTTCCTAGGCAGGGGTTATGGGAAATGGAGTCTGGAATGAGTGGCAAAGGTATGGGATGAAGTGCCCTTTATAGGGTAGCTCATGGGCACTCCAGCTAGAGATCGTGACAGCAGGATATAAACGTGCAATTTTAGAGAGAGAAAAAAATCTGAATTGTTAGATTAAAAACTCACAATTACCTTCCATACTTGCGCTTTAGAGAAGGAGAAATATAGAAAAACCCTTCACATGTACTACAAAAGACCAGTGCCAGTTACTGTATTTGTCTGATCAACAATAGGGCCTTTCGCACCGCGGGAACCCTTTCATAGTACCAGAACTAATTGTGGAACTACCCACTTTTTGGCGTTTTCGCACCGCCGGAACTGGGCGTGATTTTAGTACCGGACTGCCTTTTTCTAATGTTTCAGGAATATAGAAATGTTTCACATGACATGACATAACTGAATATCTATTAGCTCCTTTTACATTTCATATAGTTGTTCGAGTCTCTCCTTGAGCTCCTGAACGTGCTGCTCTTTTCTCTTTCTGAAATCATTCAGTTCTTCTCTTTGTTCTCTGGCTTCATCTTGATGTTTCCTCTTCATCTTCTCTATTTCATCTTCATGTTTCTGTTTCATTTCATCACACTCTTTTTCTTCTCTGTATATTCTTTCTCTCTCTTCTCTTTCTCTTCTCCAGATCTCCTCCTCTTGCTCTAGTTTCAGATCTTCTATCATTTTCTCCCATCTCTTTCTCTTCTCCACTCGTCTCTCTTCATCCTCTCGTTTTCTTCTCTTCCTCTCCTCTTTTCTCTCTCGCTCCAGCTGCTCATAACGTCTCTTCACTTCCTTTATCTTTTCTTCATATTCTCTCTCTTTTTCCTCTCTCTCTCTTTTCTGTTTCTCTCTCTCCTCCTCTATCATCTGTTCTTCTTCTCTCGCTCTTTCAGAAATCTTTCTCTTGTTCTCCAGTTCTTCTTGTTTTTCTCTCAGCTGGTCATTGTGTCTCTCTCTTTCCTCGTCCTCTCGTTCTCTCATCTGTCTGTTCTTCTCTTCCTCCCATTCTCTCTGCTGTCGTTTCATTTGCTCTTGAGTCTCTTTGCCACTTTCTGCCTCTTTTATTTTTCTCTTCCATTCTTCTCTCTCTTTCTCTTCTTGTTCCTTCATCATTTGTTCCTCTGAATCTCTCTTTTTTATTTCCTCTTCCTGCTTTTTTCTTAACTCTGTCATGATGTGTTCATGATCATTTCTCATATTTTCTTGGTCTTGGTTATATTCTTCTTTTCTCTTTCTATCTTTTTCTTCTCTTTCTTCTTGCTGTTTTTCATACTGTATCCTCTGATCTTCAGTCTCTCTCTTCATCTTCTCTATTCTATGATCATATTCAGTTCTTTGCTGTTTCTCTTCTTCTGATTGTTTCTGATCCTCCGTCTCTTGTTTCTTCTGCTCTGATTTTTCTTTCTCCTCAAACTCTCTCCTGAGTCTTTCCTCTTGTTCTCTGAACTTGTTCTTCAGTCTCTCTCTTTCCTCTTCTGTCCTTTGTTTTTTCTCCTTCAGTCTCTTTCTTATACTCATGTCTTCCATGTCATATTTGGCTTCTAATTCTTCAATTTGAGCCAGATTTGTTCTTTCATGCTCTTCTATCATTTCCATTCTCTGCTCAGTGGAGATCGCTGCCTCCTCAAACATCTCATTAGTGAAGTATCGGCCCTGATTAATCTCTTCTGTCATATTTAACAGATGAGTAACTTGTGTCTGATCTTGTGTTTCTGTGTTGTTAAAAGCCAGGAATCTGCTTCCACAATCACTGATCAGTTTCTTGAGATCAGCATCTTTACTTTTCTCTACATATTCTTCTATTGTTTGTCCTCTCAGATCATCTCCTCTAGTGAAGAGAACAATGCAGAAATCTGCTGCTTTTGAGCCAAAGATCATCTTGATCATGTCTAAAGTGTCTTTCTCTTCTCGAGTGATTCCTCCCACACTCAGCACAATGATGAACGCATGTGGTCCAGGTGCTGACAGTGAAATACACTTCATTATTTCTTCCTGCACTTGTTCATTCGTCAGTGTTGTGTTAAAGAGTCCTGGAGTATCAATAACAGCTACTGATCGACCATCAACTTCACCAACTCTCTTCTGACAAACAGTGGTCACCAAACGTGAACTAGCTTCACTGTGAAACTCATTTTTTCTGAGGATAGTGTTTCCTGTTGCAGATTTTCCACTTCCTGTCCTCCCAAAGAGCAAGAGTCTCAAACATCCCGGATCTGATGGTGAATCTTCATCTGAAAATGACAAATAATAGAGTTTACAGATTAACATTAAATTTGACCCTGAGCAACAAGTGTTCAACTCAAACCTGAAATGAAAACTATTTGCAAAAGTGCATCTCAGTGATTCTCAATGTTTGTTTGCGTTTCCACTCCCATCCATTATACAGCATATGCATTATACTTTTTTTGTTCATATTTACCAAGAGGGCTCATAATTATGACCTTGACTGTATATCACTGTTCAGTGTGTTTTTAAACATACTGTATAAAAACATTTAAGTACACACTAGTACTAGCAAAAAAAAAACATTTGTAATTCGTAAAAATACACACTGTCTAGTGAAGCAGAAATAAACCTTTCGAACATAATGTGAAAGACGAGTGTTTTATTCATGTCAAATGCAAATTGTGCAGGTAACTATAAAGCTTACTCCATTCATCTTCGTTAATAAGTGGCTTATTTGGGTGGGGGTCCCTTAATGCTCCCCACCCAAAAAAAAAAAGGATAAATGTCTTCCCTGTGAAGGAGTGGATCCTGGAGCCCCACCTCCCTTTTTATTATATCCTTTTGAACGATTAAATGTTAACTATAAGCAGAATATTGTTTGAACCTCTCACTGTGAGAAAGTATGTCTTATCACTATGTTTGGGGAAAGCTCCCTGAACGAGTACAATAAATAAAGAATTAAATCAAGAACCTTCAAACATTTATCTAAATTTAATAAATTCTTGAATATCACTAAAACCTTATTCATCCCAGTAGTACAACAAATGTATTTATTTTAATGTTGTTGCGTTGCATAAAAGGAAAGACAGCAACACGCAATAACCCTTCTGCCGTGCCATTGGCTGCCGTCATTGGACCAGTGGGCGGACCTTACAGTAGCCAATCAGAATTCTGAAGCTTGAAGTAATGACATAGCTTACTGATTTCTGTTACAGTATAATTGCTGCTGTATTTGATATATGGGCAGAGCGGCCTACGAACTCCTTGCTGAGTATTGAAGCCGACGTCTGCTGATGAAACTACAAACAAATTTCTTTTTTTTTCCTTGATTGATTGAATCTCTGATTCCTGGACTTCATTCATCATAACTGGTCTATGGGTCTTCACACGAAATCCATAACTTTTTTTGGCATGATGGTCTGAAAATGATCTGAGCCAATTTTAGTGAAAATCAAACCAACGGTGTAGGTAGGAGGAGTTTAAAAACATACGTTTTTTGGAAAATGTTAAATGCCAGAAAATGTTTCATGACAGAAAATTAAGTCATATGGTGCAACCAAATTGTCGAGGCAAAGAAAATGTAAGGAAATGTTTCATTTAACATTGTTTTTGTTGTTCTTATTAAATTAAAAAAGCACGTCATTGAATGCCAAATAACAGATTTGATTTGGCTGGACAGTAAAAATATCATTATCATCCGTTTCCCAGGGAGAAAAAAGCCCATAGAAATCATATATGATTGATAAACAAATGAAAAGGTTAGAAATTTGACATTCGAACTTTAATCATGTGGCTTATTACAAACAGCAGCTACTCGGCAAAAAAAAAAAAGCTTTCTTATTAATTATTCTAATGGAAAAAAACTGAAGGATTTATCTTAAATGTATTACTTGCTTAACACTTTAGAGGTTTTTATGTCTGTATGCTAGACGCTAAGTTAAAGAAAGCTGACAGATGCAGCATTTAAATAAACATCAAGAATTAGTCCTACAATAAACATTGCAGAAATATTTAAAAATTCCTTTCAATTAATATTTAATCAAGAACTTAAAACTAACTTTGTAGTCATAGGTGTGAAAAAAACACCTCTGCACCATGATAGTGTCACGCCCATGGACTGTCTGTGTGTGTGTGTCTCCCCACATGCTCCACGTGACCCAGTTTCTTCCATGTGTGATTGTCTCATTTGGTTCAGATGTGTCTCGTTACTTACCTAGTTAAGTCCTGTATTTAAAGTGTTGTCTGCCCTGTGTTGCTTTGTCCGGTGTTAAACGTTTCAATGTGCTACGTGTGTCTCCAGCCTGCCCTGTGTTTGGATTATTAAAGACTGTTGTTAATGATTATCCCTCGTCTCCGCGTTCCGTGCTCCTCTCTGTAGCAATCGTGACAGAACACCAGACCGACCGACTGGACTGAGCTGGAGGGAAGCTATCATCCAGCGTCTGGAGAGCGTCCATCCCCAATCCAGAGCACAGCCAGACCCAGAGCCCAGCCCACCATCTCCCTGCTGTGTGGAGCTTAATGTGTTTTCTCCCTCATGTGCCCATATTTGGTCGTTCCCGTTCCTGTCCTCGTTATCCCATTATTAGTTGATTCCCCTCACCTGTCTATCCCTCGTTTAGTAGTTTAGTATTTTAAGTGTAGTCTGCTCCATGTTTCCTTGTCAGGTCTTAAACGTCGTTGAGTTGTGCTACGTGTGTGTTCCTGCCTGCCCTGTGTCACCCTTTCTGAGGATTATTAAAGACTGTTATTTGTGTTTACTCCACGTCTCCTCGTTCCTCCCAGTAGGCAATCGTGACAGATAGTAAGGAAAAAGTTGCACTTTTGAATAATTTTGTATTGTATTGCTTTTTTATAGATTTTGTATTGTTGTTTTTACAAACACTCCACCCCCTTTTGTATTGTATTGTAAATAACCTGTAAGCTTATTAATGTGTATTCTCACAAAGATTCTTTATTCATAAAAATGAATGCACTCACCCAGTGTTTTGATATTCTCCTGTAGCTCTTCGATTTCATTGTCTCTCAGTTTCTCCTCTAGTTCATTTCTGACTCTCTTCTCTGAAGCTCTCATATACGTATGAAGAGAATAGGGTTCAGTCTTCATGCTCTCTATACGATCTAACAGGGCTGAGATCTGTTCTGAGTTTCTCTGGTCCTTTAACCCCATCACACTGTGCCAGCTCCCATAGAGACTCACAATCCTCTGAGATTCTGTGGATTCTACTAAATCTGACACACTTTGGTCAACAGTGAGTTCAGTGATGAAAAGCACTATGAAGTGCTCTTGTGAATAAAATATTCCTTTAATCTTCTCCATTTCTGCTCTGTCTTCATTAGTAAGTGGACTGACAGGAGTAACGAGGATGAAAACATGAACTCCAGGATCACAGAGAGACAAACAGAGATGAGTCTGACACATCACTTCCTCCTCTGAGAGCTGAGAGAGAGCTGGGAGCTCTATTACACACATCTGCCGTCCATCCATCTTCTCCTCTTTCTTCACAAACACATTGCTCCTCTCTTTCTGAGGTTTACTCGTTACCCCTCTAAACATTCTAGACACTGAGTTCTTGAGTGTTGGATTATTTCCACACAGCACAATGTTCAGCTTTGCTTTCCCAGTAGTCAACATTCATTACATTCATTAGAAACAGATGATTTAGTTCAGCTTTGCTACCAAATGTATACTTCATTAAACACTATTATATCCAAATGTATACTTCATTAAACAACAACAAAACTATTATATTGTAAAATATAATTACATTGCAGTGCATTCTTTTATCAACTGAAAGTTTGGGTGAATCCACTCTCTATGCAACACTCTATTCAAAAATATCTACATTTTTGTTTTCAACCAAAACAAAACAGATCAGTGAAAAGAAATACTGGTTCAATTAACACAGCCTTATTTCTTATTTTTCTCCCTGTCATTTTTTGTCTCTAAGACAATGTAACTATAAAAGGACAAAACCATGATCATAGATCATATTCTTAGAAGTATTATCCTGAGAAAGACCGCAACAAACCTCCTCCATCACTAGCTGTTTTTGTGTCCTTCTTTTTCTCGTCTCCTCTGACTGAAGCTCCAGATCTGCTCAGATCTTCATCCACTGATGTTCCACCTTCATCCTCACACGTGTCACAGATGAGAAATTCTTCATATATCTCTATAGAAGTAATATTGACAGATAAATCTAGACATTTGTGACAGAAAAATGCATTTTTTAAAAATTCAATGGAGTTTGGATGGCACACAATAAAATCCCACAGGAACCTCAATTTTTTTCATATCAACTTCAAATTTGAAACATAACTTATTTAAACATAAGGCTTTCATTTTATACCAATTTTAGAGTAAAACGTGTTATGTACAATATTTATTATATATAAAATAAAATAAAATTAATACTGCATTTTATTTACAGTAAATTTAAACTTCTATAACTTTTCTATACTTTAATGTTTTGAAAAAAATCCACTTTTGCAATAATCTGCTAATTTTCGTCTTTAAAAAGAGACCAACCTTAGGTCCGTATTCCAAAGTGTATATAAATTATAATAATTTAAGTTTGGATAGTGCACTTTCATGCCTATTTTAAAAAATGGGAGGTGACAGTTAAGGGCTTAAATAAACATCAAGAATTAGTCCTACAATAAACATTGCAGAAATATTTAAAAATTATTTTCAATTATTATTTAATCAAGAACTTAAAACTAACTTTGTAGTCATAGGTCTAAAAAAACCACCTCTGCACCATGATAGTGTCGCGCCCATGGACTATCTGTGTGTGTTTTCTCCCTCATGTCCCCATATTTGGTCGTTCCTGTTCCTGTCCTCGTTATCCCATTATTAATTGATTCCCCTCACCTGTCTATCCCTCGTTTAGTTTAGTATTTTAAGTGTAGTCTGCCCCATGTTTCCTTGTCAGGTCTTAAACGTTGTTGAGTTGTGCTACGTGTGTGTTCCTGCCTGCCCTGTGTCACCCTTTCTGAGGATTATTAAAGACTGTTATTTGTGTTTACTCCGCGTCTCCTCGTTCCTCCCAGTAGACAATCGTGACAGAAGACCCGACCAAATACAGTATCTTTATTTGCGTTTTCCCCTTCGTTTGTTTTCCGTGTTTTGTACAGTGTTTTTTGTTTCCGTTGTGTTCCCCATGGATCCCCTCGCTTCTAAGTTTACCTCCCTTGCCCGTAAAGACCTTCCCTTCTTGGAGTATGCTGTGGAGTTCAGCCAGCTCGCCGTTTTAACGGCCTTCGATGACGCTCCGCTGAACTCCCTGTTCTGGATCGGGGCCAATTACTACCACCCCGTCAACCTCCAAGACACCACCGGACTGTGCTGGAGGGAGGCAATCAATCGGTGTCTGGAGTGCATCTACCCCTGATCCAGAACACAGCCAGACCCAGAGCCCAGCCCACCATCACCCTGCTGCGTGGAGCAAGGGCCTGAGCCCACCACTGACGGAGAGCCAGAGCCCGTCGCGACCAACGAGCCATCGCCTAGGAGTGCGACAGAGCTGAGGATCGCCACGGAGCCAAAGCCTCACGGATCGTCAGACCAGGTGCGAGAGCCGGCTATAATGCCCGCCATGAGGGAGAAAGCCGCGGACAGAGAGAGCGCAGAGAGGAGCTCCGCCCCCTGCTCCGTGGCTGAGGGTGAGCGGAGAATGGATCTGAGTGAATGGAAAGCAGAAGGAGACCTTATTGACTTGTATACCGACCTGCCTCCTCTCCTCCCTCCTCCGTCGGTGACCTCTGTCCCTCCCGTTTCCATCCCTTCGGCTCCACTGCTGCCTTCTGGATCCCCACCTCCATATCGGTCGCCTGAGCCATCTGCTCAACCTCGGCCCTCCGGATCCTCCCTGTCGCCCTGGCTCATCGGCTCTTTGCCTCGGGCTCCTCCCTCCGCCGGCTCCACCGTGGGTCATCATCATGGCTGTGGCCTGGGTCCCGCTTGTTTCCTCCTTGGCTCCTCCCTCCATCGTCACCTCCCTGGACTCTGTCTGCTGGCCCCCTCCCGGGTATCCGTCCTCCTCCTGAGCCTCCTCCCAAGTTCCCACCCGTCCCTCCCCATGTTATATCTACGGCGCGAGGACGCGCCTTCCGGGAGGGTGGCGATATTTCACGCCCATGGACAGTCTGTGTGTGTGTGTTTTCTCCCTCATGTCCCCATATTTGGTCGTTC